TACACTGTTATTCCTGAAACAAATAATCTCATCCCAGGGTACTACATCATGCCTGGTAAGGTGTGAAAAATGCCAAGTGCTGTAGTGAATACTTACCAACTCCTTCAAGATAGTGTTCAACCAAATAATATTGAATGATAAAATTAAAAAACAAAAACCAGAACAATCCCCCACTTCCAAAACCAACCAACAAAGAAACAAAACACAACAAAACAGCATAGAGACACAGAAAGCCTGCACAGCAGCCACCTTCATTGCCTCATCTTCTGCTTACAGCTGCTAAAAGTAGAATTCATTTCCATGTCTCTGGTGTAGCACTACAGGCTTTGTATCTTCCAAAATATACCTGAAAATGTCACTTACTATGATTCTACCTATCAGAGAATGGATATTACCCTACTGGCTATAAATACTTCTGAATATTGTACAATTGACTATCCACACAGGTAGGTATCTAAGCCCCTGGAAAGGCCTAGGAATTGGTTCTGAATAATTTGTTTGCAATTGAACAACTCAGACTGCCTTCACAGTATTGTCTCAGTTATAATAGAGACATGTGGGGCGTGGTTATCTATTGGAATACATCCAATTCCCTTGATGGAATGAATTAAAAATAGGCTAACCTACTCCAAAACTACTTAGTACAAATGCAGCAGTTTTGGAACATCAGCATAGAAATGTTGTCAATCCCAAACAGGCTTTTATTATACGAGTAGTCCATTGTGTAATACACATTGCCTGCATGCTTCTCTGCATCTCTGCTGGGAAGGCTGCAGTATCTTCCTTGGAGCCAGCAGGTGGTGAAATTTTTCCATTTAAAAAAAATATCAGTGGGAAAAGACAAGTTCAGCAGCTATGGAGGGAAAGCAGCTGTGCTTTCCAAACCTATTCCTTCCTTATAATCACAAAATCTATACCAGTCAGTTTCCTAGGTAACCCTATGAAATTGAGACTACTAGTAGAGACTGGATGAAGTAAAAAACAGGTATAATTTTAAGTTCACCTCTCGTAAAATAGGTTAAGAAATGTCAGCTTTGACAGAATTCAGACATTTGGATTGATTTTCCCCTCTCCCCTCAATGGTTTGTATATGACACAGCCATTTCCACACAATGGCTTGGAAAGATTTTATAAGATACTAGAATATTGCCCTTTTTTTTTGGTTTTTTTCTTTTAAGAATGCATACACTGGCATCTCCTGTTTTTTATAATTGGCACATAATATTTTTATTGACCACTTGTACTGAATACAAGCATGAACACTGATACTAGGGAATATGAACATCATAATGCTTTACTGCGGAGTTTTGCTCAGATAACAGTCAGCAGCTGACAGCTATTAATATAGCAATAGAAGAGTAGATAAATAGATAATAGGATAATAGAATAAATTATTCTTCTTATCTGTTCTTGGGGGTGGGGGGGGGGGAAGCAACCAAAAACTTAAAACAGGTTGTACTGGAATAGAACTGCATTTAAAAATATACACAGAATTCATATAAAGCCAAACTAGTCATTTTCCCCTTTCTCAAAATGAAAGTTCTTATCCTGTATATTCACACCATCCAGTTTGTATCTATCTTATAGAAAGCATGGGGACACAGACTTTAAAATGCTCTGGATGAGGAGAGGCCATAAACCAAGGAAAGAGCAAAACTGTGTGGTAGACCTGTTTTCTAATTCATCTGCATCCACCCTGCCCTTTTGCCATTTACAGAGCATGCAGAGGTCTGAAACACAGAAACAAAAACAACCAAAACATATTCTTCAGAGAATGAGATCTGTGTATTTCACCATAGCACTTCTCACAAAACTCAACTGGGCCAACAAGTGGACTGACAGTTTGACAAAGTTGGTCATTATATTTTAGATACCAGTTTTCTAGAGAATCTAAGGATACTAGCATTAACTATAATTATAATTTAAGCAGTCATTCTGCCTAATTTCTATTGTTTCTTTTCAACCTCAACCCTTTTTTTTTTTCCAAAACTACTTGGTGATAGGCACAGGTACCAGCATGCACCTATAGGTGCACCATTTGTTAATGCAGGCTTTCAGCTGGAGACCTGCAGTAAAACGTAAGGGAGAAAGCTGACTTTGTACAACATGGTCTTTATGCACTGATAAGTTTAACTGAATCCACAAACCAAGCATCTGATTTAACCACTCAGTAATATAATTTCTAAAGAAACAGTTCCTACAATATTTGTAGTTTTAGCAAAGTATTTATATGCAATTAAGAGACGTTGCATGATCAGTGCTCAGTCATAGTATGTCTTTCAGTATCCCAGCACCCAAAATACTTAGAAACATATTCAACGTAATAGCCTTTGAAAAAGTAAGCAACAAGATTTCTGGAGAGTACAGAAGAGATTTTAAACTAGTGCTGTCTTTCAGCATCACATAAATTGATTTCCATTTCACACCTGATCTAAAATCAGAATTTTTCTTATTATTGATATTTTCTCCATTTAATTTGTGAGGAGTAAAATGCAGAAGGAATATGTAGCCTTTCCCTGCTAAGCATCAAATCAGCTACTGTTAATCAAAGATCAAATTCTCTGTGACACCTTACCTACCATGACCTTTCACCATTCTGAGGGCTTTCTGTCATTCTCACAGCTACACAGACCTGCAACCCTTCCACTGTGTGCTCTGTGGCAGTGTCTGCAGCAAACAGTGCTGAATGAAGGCTGCATTTGGTACATCTGCAATGCCTCAATGACGCAGGGGACCAACAGTTTCACAATTTAGAAGTCCAGCTGATACTCTAAAGCATTTCACCTGGGTAGGTTAAGGCAGAAATTAACATTAGCCCATGTCTTGGACAGACTTGCCAAGCTGGCTGCAATTTAGAAACCCAAGTAAGCTTGGAACCAAATCTTGGAACAAATATGTGCCCTGTCATGGCCGTGGTCTATATAGCTTAAATTTGCTGTCAGCCAGGTCTGTAAGTTTACTCAGATGTACCCCTATATATAGATGCCTCAGAATGATGAATTAAGGCCTTTAGCACATAACTGATAGCTCCTTTCTTGGTAAAATTTTAACTGCAGTATTAATTGGTTGAGACATTTTAGATATTTTTTCTAAATATAGAAGAAGTAAACCTCAGCTGCTCTCTAGTTACCATAGCAACTGTAAGGTATTATGGTTCTTATGTGAGTGCACACATATAGAATTTTCCATGTATAAAATGAGTATCTGAATCAACATTTATATACGTTGAGAACATTTTTTTTTTATTTTGCCTTTTTTACAGGTGACCTTTCACTGGAAATAAAGGAGCAGAAATTTCTTAGAATATTGCTAGAATCCTAGAATTATTCAGGTTGAAAAAGACCTTTAAGATCAACTCCTACTATTAACCCAGTACTGCCAAGTCCACCACTTAACCATGTCCCCAGGTGTCACATCCCCACATCTTTTAAACACCTCCAGGGATGGTGATACAAGCACTTCATCACCTCTAAATTGCAATAGTGTAACTTAAAGCAAGACAACAGAGTTACATCAGTTTTATATCATCATATTTGTCTTCTTCTGGACATCCACTTCAACAGAACAACAAATCACAAAAGTCTGTCACTGACTGAACTGACAAAAAGGCTTAGATGTTTATTTCTACACCCTAAGTTATATTAACAAGCATCATTGTGCTCAAACACACAGTGTGTTTTCAGAAGAAAGGTACGACTTGAAGCTCAAAATGAGTCCTGAGAAGACTCCCACACTCTGAGGTAAGGATTCCCATACTAGCAGCAACAGCAACAATTCCATCTAGCTCTGGGCTAGGCACTAGGACAGGAGGATTTCTATTGCTCATAAAATATGCACTGACTGCTTTGAAGTAACCTCAGTGCTAATGGCTCACACACTGTAATTTAGGGAACACTTCTCAGAGGTTGTTAAGTGCTTGCTACGGATACATCATCATTATGTTGGAGAAAGGTGCAGGCTCCCTATGCCCATATTTAACTAAATGTGAATCAGCTCTGAACTGAACTGAAAGCTGAATAGGCAGAATATATTTATGTGGCTCTCTGCTATGCTAACACAGTTACTCTGCTAAGTAGCTTATAGTACAGGCAGAGTGAGCCCACATCTGCCTGCAGCAGATATACTGACCACAGGAAAGAATAAGCACCTGGGGAACCAGGAATCTATCAGTCTTTAGTAATCTGGGTTTTAACTTTTAAATATAAGGCTTGTATAAGTGCAATGATTGGATAAGCAAGAGTGTCATGGGCTTACATTCAAAGTTATGTGTAAAACTAAAGCATTACTTAATTACTCTGATCACCCTAAAGAACCGATTCTGCTTTACTTCTAGTACTGGACAAGTTCCCCAGGGAAGTGGTCACAGTACCAAGCTTACCTGAGTTCAGGAAGCATTTGAACAATGCTATCATGTGTGATTCTTGGAGTGTTCTGTGCAGGGCCAGGAGTTGAACTAGATGATCCTTCCTGATGGGTCCCTTCCAACTCAGCATATTTTATCATTCTATGATATTTTCTACTTTCATGCCAATTCAAATAACCAAGATGAGAGAAACACGCCTCTCACTTTTATGAATTCTACATGTATGAGAAACTAAAAGTACAATTGTCACCCTCTATTCCTCATACCATGAGACTCAGGGAGTCCCAGCTGGAATAGTATTTACAGTTTATCAAAAAACCTCAGGAAAGTTTCAACTAAAAATAAGAGCTCAGTATCTGAGGACTTGCTTCCTTCTACTCTTAAAAAAAGAAGGAAAAGCTGAGATAAGAACATCTTCTACAGAACTAATTTTGCATAGCTTTCTTTCATTTAAAACAGTACATTCACACTTAAAGAATTTTGAAGATTCACTGTAGTCCTATGAAAAAATAAACAGCTATAAAACTAACTTTATTCAAACATTAAATAGTTCTTGTGTATAATTCCATGTTACATTTAGGCCTCTAAGTCAGTCTCTTCAATTATCAGAGGCTGATCTGCTTATCTAGTTCACTTGCCTGAATAAGCCTTTTCACACCTTCACTGGGAAGGAGATCCGTTCTGAAAGCTAGGAGAAAAAAGACCAGAAATAAATCACCAAAAATAAATCACCCTTACTCTGGTGTAGAGCCTTAGTGATGGTACATGTGGCAAACTACATGCTAAAATCATGTAATAGAAATGGACATTCTCAGAACATATAAAAACCTATGAGCAGCACTTTCAGGGCTTGGTGTTATATGTCTGCATGAGTACACTTTGTAAAAGCATTCTGATATCAGATGCTAGTACTGAAGCCTTTGCTGATGTGTCCCACATTTAAAAATTTGTGATGTGAACATTTTATATTAATATATTATTAAATTTTTTATTTATAATATAATATGTACTGCATAATATTTGTTATTTCATTTTTATTATGGTAGAATATGTACTAAAAAAAAAGTCTTTATTGAAGTCATTCTATCTTCTTGGTTTTATGGAAAACTGCATTAGCTATTGGATTGTTGTACTCTACCTATGATGATCCACGGGAATAATACACATACATATATGTACAGAACTGTATAAAATGAGAAAGATAATTAAGAAATAAAATTTCTGATATATATTCCTAATCTCTGCTAAAAATAGCCAGACATACATTAGCACACAAGAAATAGCAATAGACATAGCTAACCCTGATATATTAAAAAAAAAAAAAAAAAAAATCAAATGCATGGCTCAGAACAATAGAGTTAGCAGATATGTTTCACAGTGGAAAAAACTTGTATCCTTGAGGACGTTCAAAACAATGGCATGATATTTGAAAGATGGTGAAACGCCAAAAATTTATGAACTTCCTTGACAAATATTCATCCATATCTCAAAAAGCAGAACTAGTGCTATGACTAACTTCACTCTTTGTTGGAAAACAAGTAGAACTTTGATTGCACACAGTTTCCAAGTGAAATTTTGAATATCAAACTGAGCTTGACTAAATTAATGCCCGTGTTAGTAACAGCATTGTCTTACCTACTGTGTTAAAATGTTGTTCTTGGTGCACAGCAAGAAGCTGCCAAATTAACTCAGCACAAAATTGGAAGTTTGCTGAAAATTGGAACAAGACAGGGACGCAATACCACAGTCATCACAATTTCAGGAACACTAATAAATTATATTCTGTCATGATCATTCACTTCTATGTTGAAAGAGTAATATAAAAAAAATAAAATCAAAATGAATAAACATTTACTTAGAACTTAATCACTTTATAGGTAGGAAAAAATGACATGGAGAAAGAGAGTGATGAACTTTAACTAACCTGTTCTAATTCTGTAAAAATAGTTAGGATGTGTAATGCTAATAATTTCTCTTCAGAAGTATCTGTGCTCATGATCAGATTTTTTCTGTTATTGCACATGAAATTTAAGCTTGTTTGTATATTTTTTAAAAAATATTCCCTTTTTTGGTCTGTTTTCCAAACTAAGTGAGCTAAATTAAGCTATACATTGAAAGACAGATTTTATTTTAATTATGTTTAGATTTAAAACCATGAAAATGATAAAAAACTTAGTCTTTGGTGTATTCCAATTTTTCTCAAAGCAGAATAGTTGCTAATCAGCTGTGACAGCTCTCATAACTTCAGGATGACATCTTGAAAGAATACAATCACGCAGACGAAATGTGAATTACAGTTCTGTAAAACTATAAATCTTTTAGGGAAATTAATAGCAGAGTGGAATAAGAAATACTGTTTAACAGCTAAGAGCCTTTTCAGGAGAATTGACTGAACGCTAGCTTCTCCCTCTGAAGACTACAGAGAATATCATTTCTGTGAAGTGGTTGGACAAACAGACTGCCACATGCCATAGGGCCTGAACTCAGAAAGTGCCTTTTAGGAATTTTTAAGAAGCCAGGCTACTCATTTATTTGGAAATAAATTTGCCCAACAATTGTTTAGGATGGCAAGAGATTTCTTCTGGAGGAATCCATACAGTGTAACCACCTTTACACTGAGAAATCTGGTGAGTAGGAACTAAAGACATGACCTGATGACCTGAAGAAAGGATCTTTGAGAGTGTGAGAAAAATTAATGTGCTTCTGCTCTTCGTCATTCTGATTTAGATCAAGTTCAAATTCAGGTTTGTGCTGAACCTGGAAGATGAAAACTGCAAAATATATTTAACTAGATTTTACAATATTTATCGCCTGTCTTTTGCAAGTGAACCTTGGAAATGTCCTTTGCAAATGCTGAGTGAGGATCTAAAAGGGAGACAGTTTCCAGATACTCGAGCTTTTTTCATATTCTGAGAGTAAACTCCCCTCAGATGTAGCGCAAAGTCAAAGACCTACTACCAGGCTGCTTTCAGCACTTGGGATGCTCTAAGAGAGAGGTGCAGTGGTACCTGTGTGGTGACAACAGTGTCATCTGGATTGTGGTCTTCCTCAGTATAAAAAAATGTGTGGGTTCAGGACAGTGATCCAATGGAAAAGAATGTGCAGACACAAGTTTTATTTATTCTTTTAGATCTGCAAAAGACTCATTGAAATGCTAAAGAACCAGTGGAGTGCACTGACTGTTTTTTCTAAGAAATAATTCAGACAAGAAAATTTATTTCTTCAGCTGAAGTGGACTCTCCATATAAAAATTTAATTTGCCAGGCAAGAATAAGCAGATCATGGTTTTCAATGTTAAGAAAATACTTTAAGGTGGAGTAAATTCAAGAAGACACTGCCACTCTATGAGAGGCTCTTCAGGAAGATGCTTTAGACAAATGGTCACAAAATACAAAATCTGGCCTTTCAAGTCTGAAAAACTGCTTCAAAGTGTATCAAAAAGGTGAAAAACATACTGATGAAATTAAATTTCCTGCTTATAATGATATACTGATTGATTTTTATACTAACGTCCTGGATTAATTGTTTTCACTCATGTAAATTATTTATTTCCTAGAGATGCTAACTGTGGTATATATTCCTTTTTATGGTCTATACAGATGTTATATATAAGATCTCCATCACAAATGGAGGCTTTACCAGGTGTCTTCATGCAATTCTTTTCTAAACACTTAGGTGTTGGAGGTGTCTTAGACAATGAAGAGAAATTTCACCAGTGGAAAATGAGAGTGCGAGAAACTCTAGGTGAGGACCTGGATAAGGAAAGCACCTTGTGACCAAACTATGAACAGATTCAATGGACTAAGACAGCTTTATAAGAAAGTTTTAATGTCTACTGTTAATGCATGCTTTACTATACTGTACCCTTGCACTTTTATAAAATCCCACAGTTGTTTTTTCTTTATGTTCTGTCCCCATTTTCTATTGGTTACTTTGTGCTGCAATGCAGACCTCCCTAATAAGGTCATGTCCTTCCCCTACTTCCCTTATATTCATTCCTCCTATGATTTTCCTTATGAGTCAAGCTCCCTCCTTACCTTTCCTTGTATGTATTGTTCACAACCCCATTTCCAGAAAATTCCTCTCTCCCCCTATATAAAGGGGAGAGCGGGGAGAGACATTTTGAATAAACAGGCCTAATTCCTTCAGGAACCTGAGTAGGTTTTCACTTTCCTTTGGACCATGACACTTAGGAATGAATGCTTTTAAACTCCATTTCCATCAGTGTCACTCTACAGCAACATATATTTAATTATATATAATCCCTTACTCTGGTGTAGAGCCCTAGTGATGGTACATGTAGCAAACTACATGCTAAAAGCAACATGTGGTGGCAATACTTCTGAATTGATCCCTAAAAATGAAAACAACCAGCTTTCTAATGAGTTGGTCTTGTTTGAAGCCAGTCTACCTGCCAAACATCAGATTACACAGCCCTATGAAAGCAGTCATGTGAGGAGCAAAAGATCTTTTTAAGTTGCAACAGCTGCAATCAAGTTCATTTTTCCAGAGTCAAATGCAAATTCCACTCTGCAGAAAGAGATGCGAACAAGGTCTACAGCTCAGCTGAAGAGCCCTCAATTCAACTGGAGAGAAAATTATTCCCTCACAATCCTCCCCTGCTTATCTGCTCACATTGAGTCCCAACTCTGGAGCATTAGGAACTTCCGTTCACAGACTTGCTAAGACTCAGGCTCACTTGCCTCTGTGTTCTGGTTTTGGCTGGTGTGGAGCTAATCTTCACAGTGACTAGTATGGAAATAATTTGTGTTTGTGCTGAAGACAGCACTGGTAGTATAGAGATGCCTTTGTTATTGCTGAGCACTGTTTACGCAGAGCCAAAGCCTTTCTGTTTCTCATACTGCATTGCAGGGGAGAGGACTTGGGGTGCATGGGAAACTGGGAGGAGACACAGCTGGGACAGTGTCCCAAACTGACCAAAAAGATATTCCATACCATATGACATCATGCTTAGCATATAAAGAGGGATGAATAAGGGAGAAGGAGGACGTGTTCAGAATGTTGGTGTTTGTCTTCCCAAGTCACTGTTATGCGTGATGGAACCCTGCTTTCCTGGGGATGGTTGCAGACCTTCCTACCAGTGGGAAGCAGTGAATTAATTCCTTCTTTTACTCTGCTCGTGTTGTGTTTGGCTCTTCCTATTAAACTTTTATCTCAACCCATCAGTTTTCTGAGTTTTTTTCTTTCCCCCATCCCATTTGTGGGTAAGTGAGTGAGCAGCTGCATAATGCTTAGTTGACAGCTGGTGTTAAGTCAAGACACTCAGTCTATTTCTTGTGTTCACTCTGACTGTAACAAAGGGTGATGAAGAGGGCCTAGAGATGGTGGAGAAGAGGATCTATAGACTCGTTCTGTGTGTAAGAGACCCAAGAGTCATGCAGGTTTATAGGGCTGAATGATGTGAGGCAACTGGACTCTGCCCAGACATCAGTCTCCATTTCAGCCTGAGAAGGTAGCGTTCAGTGTCCTTGGTATGTCCTTGTTTATGCAGTAAATTAAGTAGAGCCTAAATCTTAACATATTTCAACCATTGCCAAACTAATTGCCAACAGAATAAAACTTAAACTACAACATATATCCTCTGCACATGTGCAGTAAATATCACTGTTTTGGGCACTTATTTTTTCTGCTCTGCTATGAGAAACTTTCCTTCCACTTCATGCTCATGTTTGCCAAACTGTAGCTGCCTTGACATTCCAGCTTTCATATTGCTTAGTCTGAGCATTCTGTCCTTTGCATGAAGCACACAAATGCCTGAACTGTAAAGAAGGTAAGCACATGTGTTTCCAGGAGATTGAAGAAATACCTGCACCACTGCATGCACTTGCTAGAAAGTTTGCTGAAGTTGTGACTGGAAAGGAAACTGGTATTTACATGTGGTTTTAACAACACTGCTAATCTGTGAGTTAAAGACCTGATTGTACATGGGGACTGTGGTTAGCTCACAGCAGAAAGTGGAACATGCAGGGAAATGGCCAGGGTCAAGACCAAGGACAGGCCTTCTGAAACAAATTGAAGGTATTCTGGGCAACAGTTATGGCTGATGGAGTGCTGTGTCTCAGTTACAACCTTGAACATGTCACTAAGGTAAAACACTTCCCACAGGAATCCTGAATGATATAGAAGAAAAAAAACATGGTTTCTGAAATGAAAAATGCCAATAATTCACATTCAGAGAAAAAGATCAATCTGATCGCAAGCCATTCTAAAGCATCATGATGAAGTATACTCTTGACTGTAGCTAGATATTACCGTGAGGAAACCTGAACTAGAGTGCAAAGGTTAACTACTGTCCCAAAAAATATTTTCAGAAAGTCTTGTTACAATATTGCAGAAGTATAAGTTCAAAGAGTGCAAGAAATATCCTTTGAAAACTGTTGGCATGTAGCTATGCTTTGGTCGTGCAAAGAGCTGCATATGTCTACCAGTTCTGGCAAGAAATTTTCTACCCAAGGCGATCCACTGGTTTAATGCACAACCTGTTCCAACACCTCCACAGAACAGCAGAGTCTGGCTCTCTAGGCTGTAACTGTGGTGCAAACAACATCAACATATAAGATCACAGATGTGGCCAAGTGTGAAGGGATGTTTTGTAAAACTGTCTAAGACAAGGTTGACTGAAATATTCCCCCACTTAAAGTGCTTAGAGTGCAAAACAACTATTGCATAGCTTAGCAAGTAGGATAATCAATTAAAATATGCAAAGACTTAGTATGGGACAATGCTTATAAACATTTCATTTTTATTACTCTTCTGTAGAATTTTAGTATGCATGATAGATAATTATCACCACTATGATAAGCTTCACCACAACTTTACAGCTGACTTCTTCTGATACTGTAATAAGATCAGTTTTATTCATTAACCAGCCTTAGTCAACCAGTCTATTCTAAAACAAGTTAAAAACTGTAAGAAAGGTGACAGTGTGACTACAATAAAGGGGAATGACAACTACTACCTTCAAGAGGCTTCTTGACCTTGAGAGTACAGCCCTCTGAACCTTCTATTTAGAAAGTGTTCATACTTGACTTTGTAGAAGCTTCATAGCTTTTAAGCTGTTTAGCAATTTGCAGTACCTTTGCATGAGAAGATCTAGATGTGATATCTCCTTGAAGAAAGAGAATGAATCTTCAAGAAATGCCTTCTTGGCTGTATAATACTATCCTCCTAAAAAAGAAAAGTTATAGGAAACTGAAAGATAAGTCTCATATTTAACCTTCTTGCTCTCCTCTACCTTTCCCCAATATCTCCACCCCTTAAAATTGAGTATTTCTTAAAAACTCTAGACTTCCCTAGTATGACTTTTAGCTGTGTCATAAATTTTATCTTGGAATGGAAATCAAGTAAAATGTTTAAATAACAAAAATAATGGTTATTAGACTATTTTACATCACTATTACAGCCAAAGTAAACCCTCTCTGAGTGTTTAAAAATATCAAGCCCATAGACCAGAAGTAATTCTTAATAAAAATCAAAAGTTCAAGTCAAACCGAACATCTAAACGACTTAAACCATGAATTTATGTTATCTCATTTTATTTTTTTTAATCTTCTGCATATCTTCTGAAAGCCACTAGATAAATATTCATGAGTTACAAAAATGAAAGTATGATCATCATCTTCACACACTTTCTGCTAGATTTTGCTTGATGTGTTCTCTACGGTGTTATTTGTCGCTGTAGAAAGCCTAAAGCCTCTGTGTTACCCTACCTTCCAATTTTCCACTTTCCAAGTGTCTTAGCCTTCATATGCACAGATCCCCTCCAGCTTTCAGAAAGCACCTCCACAGTACTCTAAAACAATATACCTTTTAAAATGTGTTGCTTAGAACACAATCTTTAAAACTAGTACATTTTTATTTACAGAGTTTTGAAAACTGAGTCAGTTTTAGATGTCTGCATCTCTAGTACACATATTTCCTCTGATTCTCGAGATGGCTATGGCAAATGAACACCAGATTACACATATGATTAAAAGAAAAAAAGAAATATTGGTAAATTTAGTTTTTAGTAGAGTCTGGAACGACTCTTCACATAAAATAGATATCTCGGGATCTATAGTTAAGCTAGATAGAGTAGCTGGTGAGCATTAGAGTGGCTACCAAAAATGATTCAAGATCTCACCTAAGCATATTTAATACATAGGATAAAGGTTGGATTGATAGCCCTGGAAAAAAACACCTGGTTTTCCACAGAACAGCATAATGGCAAAAGCTGCATGCAGTACCCACATGATCACGAGAGGGATCACTGTTATTGTGAAATCATACTTTCACTTTACCTCTAATTCAAACCCGTGGCAGAGAGACTGGCTGCTGGGATGCAGACATGGTAGGGAGGCATAAATTCCAGAAGGAAATATCTGTTTGATGAGATTAGCAATTGAGGTTTCAATCTGAGCTCTAGCCCTGAAGTCAAACTGGAGGAATCCATAGACAACCCTGTGCAAGAAATAATCTCTCCTTAGAATGGTTACATAGCAGAAATGTAGGAATATTTTCACTGAAGAAAAATAAGGGAAACTTCTAGGACTTAGCACAAAAACATTTAGTTTGAAGTTTAGGAAAGTGACTATTCAATGTCATTAGTCTTCTGCTCCTACTGAAGACAGTAAGGAGGCTTCCAACTTTATGGTCATAAATTATGAAATCTCTTTTAAGAAAACTATTATTTTTTTTAGTACAGTTTGAATCAAGCATTACTTCAATTACCTCATATCCACTACATAATTACTATAAATCTCATAGATTTATACTATAAAGATATGTCTATGCTACCATTTTAAAACTGTGTTTTGTGTGCAATACAGATAACTAAGGGGTTAAATAATTACTGCTTTAAAAATCCTCACATTTCATACTGCCTTGTATTTTAAGTTTTCTTTGTAATTATTTACCTGAATGAAAATAGGTTATATGGATTATAAGTTGTGAAAGTTATGAGGAATGAAAATCGAAGCGATATTGGATTCTTATTTGATCTTGCATATAATGCCTTGTAAAGTTTAGGTACGCAGGGATGGAAACTGTTTCAGCAGATCTTGGGGTAATTTAAAAGTCAGAATAAAACAAAGAGTCACATATCAGAAGAGTAAATTTAACTACTAAAAAAGGAAAGCAGAAACCCTTTCAAGGCTGTGGCAACAAAGATGTCTGACTTGTAAAATCAGGATGAAATTTATAGCTTGTATAAACTAATGTCTCATAATGACCTGCTGAAATCAGGTTCAGCAGGCAACTTCATCAACTTCAGCAGGCAACTTCATCAACTTCAGCAGGCAAATGCAATACCTTCTAGTGCTGTTCTAGTGCTGTTATAAATAAAAAACAAAGAAGTCTTCACAAAGATCTCTAGATTTTTAAGCTCTCATTACTCCAGGGGACATCAGTTTAAATAGATTCTTTCATTGACCTCTAAAAATGCCACTGCTTATTAGAAAAATTCCTATACAAAAAAAAGAGGGAAAAAATTATAAAATATACTAGTTCTTAGACAATAGAGTAGGATCACACTTGTTTGGGAAGAATACCTCATCTTACTCTGAAACAAAGTTGTATGTAATTATAACTATGGACCACAAACTTACTGATAGAAAACATAAATTTAAACTACTAGAATTCTTGACACTGAAATATATCAACAAGTCGTACAGGAAATTAGTGCTACAGTGAATCACAGAAGATAAGAAATGTAGAGAACTATTAACTGTGGTTTGATATTTTTAACACATTGTAGTGTCAATGTTAAAATACCCAATAAAATAAAACATACACTGCTGCTAAGATTTAAAATAATAATATATTTTTAAAATATAATTTCCTATAGGAGAAAAAGTAGTAGTTTTAACAGAGCATGTTTTAAGGCTCTCTATTCCCTACTATAGTTCAGTAGGATCAATATCTTTTTATGAAACTCACATTATAATGCCTTAATTCATCAGTTATAGTCCCCACTATTGATGATTACAACTATGCACATGCTCCATATTGTGAAAAAAGTACTATAAACTCCTTAGAAGTCAATTAAATACCACAAAAGCTTTGAAATTTTATTTAGTTAGTTTTCCTGATACTGTTTTAACAATCATAGATAAACATGACATTTCCATTTCAGAAAAGGAAGATCTCTTTTCCATCTATGAATTCCAGTGTCCTTGTTAATTACTAAATTTCTACCAAATTCAGTTCAGACCAGAAAAATGATTATTTTCATTAAAATATCTGTCACATATTTGTTCTTATGGGTAACAAGTGCATTAAAGAGATTGAGAAGATATATTTACAAAATAATACCTTTTTTCTGATCTTTCCCTCAATCTATTCTGTACATAAACATATTAAATAGTCTTAGGTACTTGGAGATAATGTGGCAGAAACCCCAGACTGTGTCACACTCTAGATATTCAGTGTCACAGGGAAATGAAGTGTACATCTGAAGCAGTGCTGAAGATGTTGTTTGCCTGTCATGCCTGCTAAACATCAGCAGAAAGAGAGCATATCTGCTCCTAAAATTCCGTAGCTACACATAAAAGTCCTTATACTGACCTTAGTAGATGGAAGTCCATTGAAACTGGGCTCAAACTTTTTATAAAATAGTAACACTTGTTCTTTGTGATGCGTGTTAGCTAGCTGGGTGTAAGTAGCAAGATGTTGCAGTGGAGGGCTGCAGTGGTAATTTCTGTGATCAGTGACTGAATACAGCCAGTTCCAACAACCCCACTGCACGGGGGTTCATTAACTATAAGGTTTATACTAAAAGAATTCAAGAAAATTGTAGTTTCTTTGGACACATATCTCCATACTTGCACCTCTGCAGCAGGAGAATTTGGAATTACACAAACAGAGGTGTCAGCTACTGCATCCCTGTAACATCTGCTCTTGCTTTGGAAGGTTCTGAATCTTCAGAAGTCTAGTTGTCATACTGAGCAAATTAAATTCGGTTAACAGAGGCTGATTTTAAAACAGTCTGCTTTTAACATTTCAAACACAAGTAAATGAAGCCAGATAACCAATGAAAGTGTTTCCAAAATGTTTTCCAAATGCAGTAGTCGAGATCTATGCTCATCATCACTCTTATTTTTACTGCCTAGCAGATATGAGGCCTACAAAGAGATTTTTAAAAGATAAAATTTAAAAAAATAAGAAATAAAAATTAAAAGGTAAATAAACTGTTGATGGACAATGTTTGTTCATCTTAATGAATTAAGCTTTCTCCCTTCTGATTTAGTTTAATTCTTAAAATAAACAGAAGTCTTGTGGTTAAAGAGTGAAAACCACGTTTTGAAGGGAAAGCAAAATAAGAGTTCCCAAGAGAAACGAAAACAAATACTAAAACTTCTCAAAGTGTGCATTTAGAAGTCCATATGACTGATCTTTAAAGTGCATACACATCTTATAAAAATTACCTATTTTTGAATTTACACATATCCAGTTACATACTCCACACACAGTTTAAGTCATCAATAGCTCAATGAACAACGCATTAGTAAAATACTTTTGATGGAACTTATCTTGTAATATGAGCTTACTTCAAGAAGGAAGACGTACTTTTTCCCCTCAAAATCCCTGATGACATCCAAGGTCAAAACAAAGATTTGGAAAATACAAAGAACTCAAATTATTAAATATATATGACTAAGGACAAGAGGGCACAGGTTTAAGCTCTATCAGGGGAGGTTTAGGTTGGATATTAGAAAGAAGTTTTTTACAGAGAGAGTGATCAGGCATTGGAATGGCCTGCCCAGAGAGGTGGTGGATTCACCATCCCTGGAGGTTTTTAAGATGAGGTTGGATGTGGCCCTGAGTGCCATGATCTAGTAATCACAGCGGGGTTGGATCAAGGGTTGGACCTGATGATCTCGAAGGTCTCTTCCAACCCAGTTAATTCTATGATTCTATGATTCTATGAAGTATCCTACTAAGAATAGTTTGCACTGAAGTTACTGATGTTTTTTAACTGTACTAAATTTAAACGTATGCAAACTAATAAAGGAGTAAGGAGAAAAGATGCTCTTGTCTTTATTTTTACTTGTAATATGTAAAAAATGTAATGTATACCTGCTGTACTCTTCCATTTTCCAATGTTGTCTTAAATATGAGAGAGTAAGATGAAAAGACAACAGGTCAATATAATTTATCTATATATAAGGTGTTTAATACCTTTAAAGGGCTACATACACAGAGGAAGGAATAAGTACTAATATGTCCTAGTACATTTTAACAAACATTCCACACTAAAAGAAAACCATAGAAAATATAACAATTCATTACACTGTTCTATTCACCTGAGAGAATAAAAATAATTGTAGTGGATCTGTCTAGGTATTTTTATAACTAGTTCTCTCTTGAGGTACAAAGAGGAGAAAAGGTTTTCCATTTCAAACATTATGTTTTACTGGAACATAAATTAGGATAGTTACTTTCTTAAGTAGAAAACTTGCTAAGGAAGGTAGAACACAAACAGAAAATGACTAGTAAGTCACAACCAACCAGTACCTGTCTATCTAATCCTGCTTTCTCATGATTCTCTTGTACTGGAAATTGTCATGGCTAGACTTCACGAACGAAGATTTGAGAAGGGCTCTACCCACGCTTGCTGCAAGTGCACTGATGGCTAAAAAGGCCAATGCGAGATAGACAAGTCCGGTTGCAGAAGGCACAGCAGAAAGACTCCCCAGGTGATACAGACGAGACGTGATTCTTTCTGCGTTGTCTTTTCTCCTCGAGAGTGATCCTGCGTGTGTTCTCAAAAGCAGCAGCAGCGTTATAGATGGTGTGTCTCCAGGCCTCCCAATTGGAGGCCAGGGTAGACCAATGGTGATGATCAATATGGCCAAGGCTGAGGGATTGTTTCAGGCAGTCCTTGTACCTCCTCTTCGGGGCTCCTCTCTTGTGGCAGCCAGCGGCAAGTTCCCCATAGAGCACGATCTTAGGGAGGTGGTAGTCCTACATCCTGGAGACGTGCCCTGCCCAGCGCAGCTGTGTTCTCAGCAGCATGGCCTCAATGCTCGTGACTGCTGCCTGTTCAAGGACAGACGTGTTGGTCATATAATCCGTCCAGTGGGTGTTTAGGATTGTACGGAGGCAGCGCTGATGGAAGCGTTCTAAGAGACACAAGTGGTGGCAGTAAATGACCCATGATTCAGACCTATATAAAAGAGTAGACAGTACAATGGCTCTGTAAACGCTGATCTTTGTACTCTTCTTCAGGTGTTATCGGAAATGATACTCATGAATCAATGTATTATTTGCTGCTTTACTCCAGTTCATGTAAGTTGCAGCTGTAAACAGAGTGCTGTTGATATGCAGGATAGGGTAGGATGAAAGCTGCATTCTGTCATATTCAGAATTTCTAATTATACTTACTTAGCACAGTTAGACACAAAAATTCAGAAACTACTAAACTTGGCAAAACATGGCTAAAATTGAATAAGGACTGACGTTACATGACAAACAAATCTCACAAATAAAAAAGGAGCATGCAGCTTTAGGCAAAATAATCAGACAGCTGATGTCCACTGAACATTCAGCACAACTGTCTGGTTTCAATGTCAACACAAATTTCTTTCTAGAGTATTTTATCAGACATACCAAAATTGTTTGAATCAATTCAGACAGAGTTGGAATGTGGGACTGCTTACCCACTAGCTGGTGACTAATGGTTGATATGGAAAAATTCCCCTGTTTTTTAGATGTCTGTCTGAATGTCTAATGATGGATATTTGGGGTTAGATTTCATTATCGGGCTCAGAACTATGTATGCAATACTTCACTATAAAAAAAAGTTTGTGTGATTAAGCTCTGAACTCATAACAAAAAAAATTCTGTTTCTCATTACAAGAGTGTTTGTCATATTACAAAACTGATTTCAGCTTCATCTTATTCTTCAGTGTGTTTGTTAACTAATAAATATTCTCCATCACTCACTGCTTTAATAATGCCATCAAACCAGATTTGAACATATGAAAATATGAGAAAGACTAGACAGACTATACTTGCCTTTATTTTCCAAGTCTATAGTTGCATTATTTTCTAAAACTAAGTGCAGGAGTAACTGTTCTTATGAATTTTATATTTTTTTTCTTGGTATCAAGTTGCTCTTAACCATTGTTAATGTCAAATTTCAGTCTTCACAGCATTTATAGTAAGTTTGATGAGTGCAGTTTATCAATTCAAATGATTTGTGATTCAAGTAGTTTTTTCCCTCAAGTCAGAATAAGTTGCATAAAAGTGTTTTCACTGAAACTAATAGTGTATTCAATTAGTTCAAGTTAACATTTATGGAATATACAAATGAAGCTTGACAACCTTTCTGACCTACAACACTGGTGACATGAGGTGAAACTCTGGTCAACAGACGCTTGCCTACCCTTCTCTTTAATACTGCTGATGTTCAGACTAGACTGCCCAGACAATATCTGGACTACAAACTCTTACAACAAAGACCTTCTTAATCAGGTAATTTTTCCTGCCAGTTCTTTCTTGCACTTTCTACTTACTTGCACTTTTACTGTTTTCCAAACAGTTTTACCACTAAATAAATATGTTGATTAAATAATTTTTATAGTGGACTGTTTTATCAATCTGTGCAATGTTTGATAAAATAGTAATCAATATAAATTATCAAAATTCCTTGCACTCCTGCATTACTGAGCTGATGAATCACAGGGTTAGAAGTGTAGGACATCAGTTGAACCTGATGCTTTCACTGCTACAACCTCTTTAAATGCACCATAGGCACAGTCCTCAGAATGTTTCCTTCTTGTATATACATGACTTCTCTAAACATTATGTAGGTTCATTTGCCCTGCCCTTACTTCTTTGTGTTTCTATGGTTTTCCCGCAATGGTACTTTTACATAACTTTATTTTGTTATGAGTATTTCTATAGTATTTTACTGTTACTGATTTTTTGCAGTGGGTGGGAGGGTTTTGTTGTTGTTTTTTTCTCTACATTAAGTCCTCAGATTTCTTGGTATTAAAAATAAAACGTCAAGGCTGGAACACATATGGCCTTCTTATTCATGGTAAAAAAAGTCATGTGGAACCACAAGAAATATAAGATCTTATTTATCAGGAATGGTTCTTTGTAAAACAGAGTTGGAGGACAAGGAAGGGATTATGTGTAAGTTGGACATAGATACTACTTACTCTAAAAAAGACCTGCAAGAAGGAGTTCAAATCAATAGTCTAAAACATGATGTATCAAGTATATCCTAAAATACCACTATTAGTCAATATAACATGCTCCCACTCTTAGTTTTCCTATTCTTTTTTAATCATAAAGCAAATAAAGCCAGGGAGACTCACTTCCCAACTTAACATTTATTCTATCTCACAGCATATATACTTGGCAACTAAAAACCTATGATTCACACTTTTGCTCCAAATAATTTCATTAATGAAATATAACAATATCATCAGGTGTGAATGAAACCATCTTAGTCCAGATCACTGTATAACATGACACTCAATGATTTGTAACCTACACTGACCACTGATATTGCAGTAGGAAGGATTGATGCTATTCCCAACCTTAAACTGAAGTCTCTACTCCAACCTTCCACTATGTCAGCTATAAGATGAGATAGGTTGCTCAGTGCCTTAGTCAGTAAGACCTAGAAAAACTACAAGTATGAAAGCTACAAGTATGAAACCTGTATGGGCAACCTCTTCAACTGTTTGACTCTTCCCGCAGTGAGAAGGCCAAACTTCCGTCACCATTGTCTCCTGTAAATCTACCAGTCACTCCACTTGTTGATTTACAAGTGAACAGAGACAAAAAATTTTCCTTCAAACTGAATGAAATCTGCATGCCATTAGTCTCAATTCAGTCTTCTGTCCAGGATAACTCCTCTTGGATTTTCATTTCATCATGCAAGATTACTTTAATTGCAACAACTCTGAGCTTTCTGTTTGAGCACTGACTCCAAAATGGTCAGTCATTCAAACAACCTTCATGAAGGGGTGCTTATAGAAAAGCAGCACAGCACAAGATCCTAGTTGACTTTAGCTGCAACAAAATGGGATGACTATGTGGATGCTTAGGTCAGCAAAACTGTACTGTAGTACATTTTAATGAGAGCTGTACATTTGTGCAGCTCTTCAGCCCTGGTAGTAAGTCAGCCACAGAACTAAATCCCATATGAAAAAAAAAAAAAGAGAAATCACATGAAAGTTACTTTTTAAAAAAGAAAATATAATATTATTTAGCTAGGCAAGAGTAAAGATAGAATCAATTATGAATTGCAGAGACATTCAGGCTGGAAAAGCCTCAGGAAGTCTCTAGTCCTACTAAAGCAGGGTCAGCTCTGAGGTCAGACTAGGTTGCTCAGGGCTTTACTAAGTCTGGTCTTGAAAATCTCCAGTACAGACATTCAACATCATCTCTGGGAATCCTGTTCCAACACTTGTCTGTCTTCATGGCATGCCCACTCCTCCCACCCCTTAAAACGGAATCTTCTGTCTCTTTCAATTTATGTCCATTATTACATGTCATCCTGTCACACACATATCTAAAGAGCCTGACTCCATTTTCTCATAACCTCCCCATAAGGACTGGAAGGCTTCTGTTATGTTCCCTTCGCAGCCCACCTCCCCATTTACTCTCTAGGCGAAAAATTCCAGCTGCTTGAGCTTTTCCTGATGAGTCATGTGCTTCAGAGTAAGTCACAATTAACTTCAGCAGTAGGACACAGACTTGAATAAGCAATATGAAAAAGGTCAGCTCCCCTTGCTCTAGTCTACTTTAAGTTCAGTAACTTCTTTTCTACATGACCCTTCAGTTTTATTCTATAACTGTCTAAATGTCTTTGCATGCCACAAGTGATTATCCACTTGTCTTGAATATTGAAGGATAAATTTTCAGAGCATTTCCTAATTTGATAATAGGTTTTTGATTCAAGAATCACTTTGCTAATTGAAAAGAAAACAAGCGTCATTTAGATACATTCCAGATTTGGTACTGGGTTTTGTGAATTTCAGTTCTCAGATGCTTATTCTGAAAAAACAGAGCTGTAGCTCAAAGATGTAATTCTCATAACTTAATGTTTACCTGTTCTTGTATGGTTTTCAAATTAGATTTTCAGTAAGTCTAAAAAAGTATTGGGCCTGTGCCTGTTACATTTGAAGAGGGAATTGCTAGGGGAGGAATAAAAGGAAGAGACAGGGAACTCAGAATCTTCAAATGTGCAATGTTTCGGTTTTGTATGGTGTGGAAAGCCAATTTAAGAACAAATTTTCATCCAAAGATAACATTATTCCCTGAAAAAGTGGAAAATGAAGATTTTAAAGTATGGTTGCATAGACAGCACAAATCCCCTGGTTTTTTGTATGTAATCTAAAGTAATTATTGATAGATGAACTATAGAATTACCTTGAAAAATAAAAATATTTTCCTTCAATCCTGCTTGTCTTTCCAAATGATTATGTTGTAGTAAATTACTAAAAAGTTGATGGTTGCTGAAAGAAAGGTATTCTTTGCAAGGAGAGAAGTTAAATACTAAACGAGGTGCCCAGAGAGGCTGAGCTGTCTTAGTCCATGAAGATTTTAAAAAAAAGAAAAATAACAAGGAACAACCTAATGTGACTGTGAAATTAATCCTGTGTGATGGCATGTTGATCTTGGCTGTCTGCCATACCCTCAATCTCTTTTTTTTACCTGTGCTCCTTAACAGGACAGGGTAGGAAAAAAAAAAAAAAAGAAAAAAATCTCATTGAGGGTACAGATAAAGACAGGGCAATCACTCACCAGTTGTGTGTTTCCTCAGACTCAACCCGAGGAAAATTAATTTAATTAGCAATCAAAATAGAGTTTGTTGGTA